AGCATTTCAAATAAAGAAGATTACATAGTAAAACCATGGCCAGAGATGGAAGGAAAAATGCCTTTCACACATGTCCCCCGCAGTGTAATCCAAAAGCTTTGCTTCCCCTCTGCTTCCAGAAGTGGAGTGGTGAACCTTGCCACAATTCATGTAGAGCTATCAATAGACACAGAAAAAGAAAAGGAGAAGAAAACAAAGCTATGCAGATATGCATGCCAAGAACAAAGGAGGTTGTGAATATGTTACCAGCAAGCGTATGCTCAGTGCCACTTTTAAATGGTGTTGATACTTAGATTAAGGATGACAGGTGCCTCAGAAAAGCCTCTGATCTGACTGTCAGAATTTCTCGGTATCTTGTTGACAGTGATAGGCGCTATACAAAGATATTCTACAAACCCTGTTAGCCAAAACCTCACCTGATGTGAATTAGTGGTGCTTTTATAAAACCAGTGAAGTCACACTGCATAACAGCCATGGCTTCAGGGCTTGCAGTGACATGGTTGCATCCTCTGTTTTGGACTGAAGCACACCATAGGAGCCTCCCAGGACTTTTTTAGAGACCCCAAAGTAGATGAAAATCCCCACTCTCTTCCTTTCCATGCTCAGAGGTATGTCCCTTCCCCTCCATTTCCCCCTTTCCTCCTCCTGCCCTTGCTGCTTTCTGTGCTCTCTTGAGGGCAAGGGGAAGCTTCAGACCTATTCCTGCCCACTCAATGTGGGCTGTGCAGGATCTGGGCTCAGCTGCAACAGCAAAAATGGCAGCAGCAATTGGGAAAAGGGTTCCCGTCCCAGCAACTGCTCCCTGGGGACTGGGCAGGGTGAGGGAACCCAACCACCCACCCATCACTGCTGCCACTGCACAGTTGCATTCCCAGCTGAGCCCAGTCCCAAAGCAGCCAGGCTGGAGCCAGCAGAAGTGACTCTGAAGCTTCCCCTAGCCCAGGGGCAGTGGGAAAAGTAGCAGAGGGAGATGATGTGAATCTGTCCAGGGAAGGGAAGGTGGGCAGGACTCTTACTTGTTTTGGGGACTTAAAAAAGTTCCCAGAGGCCTCCCCTGCCTAGTCAGCCCACACCAGTGGATACAGGGGAGGTAGGAAGGAGAGGCTGGGAGTAGCGGGTGTAGCCACCCATGCAGCACTGGTTGCTGTTCATGCACTGCCCCCACCCCTTGCCACATTTTGTATTTGCCCCCTTCAGTTACTTATAAACACAGTGATATGAATTAATGGCAAGGCTTGGATCCTGGAACCTACAAGTCCCGATTCCCAATTCTCCACTAACCACTAGACAATACTGCCTTATATATAGTAAAGAATGGTTCCTTTGCCATGTGTGGTTCCTCAAGGTATGCTGTTCACAAAAAAACACTAAAAAGACACTTAAAAAAAAAAGGCACTTTAAACTTGGCATATTCCCACACCGAGCCCAGCACATGCCCAGAAGTGGCATCACATTAGTTGGACTCAGCTCACCCAAAATCTGTATAAATTGGGCACTTCAGTGGGGCTTTTTGGTGTTTTTATTTAATAGATGATTGAGTTAGCTTTAGATAACAGTACCAAAAAGCCCTGCTGAAGCACCTGATCTATACAGAAGCTGCAGAGCTGGGTCGAAGTAACACACTGCTTATTCCAGTAAAGTGTTGGGTTTTTTTTAATGTCTGTAAGCAGCCATGGATCCCACTCCTGGTGTGCACACTCTCCAAGCAAATGAGATTGGATTATTTTGGCTATGCATGAGGCCCCTAGCTCCCCTATCCCCCCACCCTCAACCATTTCTTCCCCCAGGCTAAATAGGCTACATTCTGACTATGTAACTTAGTTGCATCTTTCCTCCCACCCACCCACCCTGTAGTATGTAGCCACCTTGTCCAGTCTCTATACTTTCTTCTACCCCTTCAACTTTGTAACTCCCTTCTTAACATCCACTGGTGCCATGCCTACACTCTGAATGCCCTCATACCCTTCTCCCACCAGAGGATGTAAAGAGCAGAGCAGGCCCAGCTGCCCCTAAATTACTTTGCCAATATGGCATCCCAAGACCTGTAGGACTTTATAGAAATGAGGAAGGAGCACAGGGTGTGGTGTGTTTATGAACAGGACAGTTGAAAGAACCACAGTTATCAAAAGTCAGTTGTTCTTTCTTTTTTGAGTAACTGCTCACAAGGTGACTAGAAGTGACCTCCAGGCTTAGAGTTAGCATATTTAAATAAGTACTGCAGGGCAGCTTTGCTGAAGTCTTTACCCCATCATCTGTAATTTCCAATTAAGAGGGCAAGTGTGAACTGATCTCTAGTAGCCATCTTGCAAATTTTGGAAATGGACATCCTTCTTAAGGAAGCAGTAAAGACTGCCCTGGTGGAGTGGGCTGTAATGTGCACAAGTACTTTTATCCAGCTGACTGATAGCAGGATCTTATACATTCAGATAGCTATGTTGGCAATCTTCCAGAAGATCTGGCATCATGTAAGAAGATGCAAACACTGGACAAAATGACCTATATTACCTATGACCTATATTTCTGATCTTTTTGTCCTGGTCTTAGAAACTAGTACCTCCTTTGTTCAGTGAGCCTGAGACCTTAAAACAGAGTCACAGGATGAAGTCTGCTCTGGTTGTTATAGGCTTTATTTGTGCAAATCAGAGGAGTCGCCAATAAAATGTTCCAAGGGAATAGCATGAAGATGCTTTAGTTTTTGGCATTGCCATAGCAATACTCTAGTCTTCATAAAATATAACTGTAATTAAACAAATGATCAGCCTGTTCATCCTTAGGAAGGCTGTTTTTGTTAACTTTGTTTCAATGAAAAACATTAAGTTAAGCTAAAATTACAGCTCTAATGAGAAAACAGTGCCTTTTGGATGTGGACTCAAAACAGCACTCATTTATTTTCTTCTCTATTATACTGTATCTCTGAATTCTATTAAAAAAAACCCATATGTAACATTTGCCACCAGAGGGCGCCTTTATAATCCATGAGTAAGCAAATATCTAGATTTGCAGATTAATTACAAATGTATCTGTAAACTGTGGAATTACAAAGAGTATAAGTAGATTCATGCAGCCTCTGTGTGACATAAAACTCAGATAAAATTGGATTCATTTTTTTAATACAAAGTCAGAAACAAGCATTTCCCACTTTTTCTTTAACATATTATCCTATAAGTAAAGTTAGTTCAAATAGAAATGGCATAATGTTAATAATACACCAGGTTTCTCACATTTCAATTCTGTGGTCTATCACATCAGAAAGGCCAAATATACTCCAATGCAAGTAGTTTGATACTCCACTAACATCAGTATACTTTGAGTAGCTTGTTAGCTTGTTTCCTTGTAATTCATCATCAACAGTGCTAACTAGGCCTGTGCGAAGCAGCTAATATGTGTTTTGGATTTGGATTCGGCCGACTAGGGGAACAGTGACTCGATTAGGTGACTCAAATCACCATCCCGAATTGATTCAGCTGAATCTGATTCAGAGATTTGGCTGCTGCCGAATCAGCTGAATCTCCGAATCAGCTGAATCTCCAAATCAGCCAGGCCCATCCCCAACCCACTGCCCTTTTCATCTCAGCTTCCAGCTCTTTGGGGAAAAAAAGCCCCTACTCACCAGCTGCTGCTGCGTGGGGGGGTGATCCCTG